CCGAGTACGAGACCCGCTCAGAGACTGGCCTTGACAGCTGACGATGTCAACACATACGATTGGTATTGGAATATGGGCCTTGAATACGGATTGGAACATCAGCTGTCTGACTGCGTTGACAAAGAGTTACTACTGATCTAAATGACGACGGGCTTTTATAGAAGCATCATACGACGTGGGTGTCGGCGTTTTAAGCTCTCAAGGCAGGCGTACTGCTTTGAACTTGCAGGTTTCGGTCGTCAGATTCACTATATGTTTGAAACACTGCGGAAGAGACGTGAGTCAGGTTTATGAGACATCAGCATTGGCCTTGCGGTTTTATTTGCTCCGTTCCTGGGCGTGCTTGAGAAGGTGGCCGGTATCAAGGGCCTTCTCGAGCACCGTCTTTAGCCTGCTCATGGCCTGGCTCTGTCTTTGCATGATGTCTCCACTGCCTATAGCCAGGCGCCATGGCGGAGGCGACAGCGGGCGAGATATACTGAATAGTTTTCCTTGTATGGCCGGCACCGCCTCATATTTTTGACATCTTTTGCCTCTGTTATCCTTAGTGTACTACAGACGAATACTCAGACAGCACTTGAAGGAGGAAAAGTCAACCCAGACATACCGGAAGCGCAGCCGCCGTTCGATTTTGTCTTGAGCATCTCGTTCAGTGCTGAAGCTAGGATTCAGACAATTTGAACAGAATCCGCATTCGATCAGCGGGTTTCTAGCCTTGTTGTGTCTGTTTTCGAATATTGCGTCCAATTCTCAGCTTTCAAGCTGCGAAAACGACTCTCGTGTCCACTTGCGGATACTACAAGCTCTGGTGGCTCTGTAACAACAGATCAAGTCCGTAGATCATGAATATTTGATGACTTGATGACTAGAGCTAGGACTTGGAATAAAAGCATTATTCAAGCAAAGGTCACCAATACATGCAAAGCCGATCGCAGCTATCATCATCGTGAACGGGATGTCCCTTGTGATTTGGTGCCCAAGAACCAAAGAGTGCGGCAACTGGCCCATCTGGTATGAGATTTGGGCAAGTTTATAAGTGCCACAACTGCCTTCAGGCAGTTTATGGGATCTATGGCCATGTGTGAGGCTTCGAAAATGTCGAAGGTAGGGAAACGGCGAGCGTCGCACCCCTGTTGACCGGAACTGTAGTACTTCTCTGAGATCTTCGTCAAGTGATCAGCGGATTGAAACAAAACAGATCGGTAGAAACATTCCGAATAAGCAATAGATACTCGCGAAAGACGCCGATTATGGATGCCGGCCCTACTTGATGTGATGGAAACTGTCCTGAACTGAGCGCAAACAGGTACGGGTCACGACACCAACTCTTATTGAGCGTTGATGGAGTTTCGAAACAAACTAGATCTCTCATCAATCCAGCACGATTACTGAGAGAACAATGGGAAGGGAGAGATCAATGAAGAAGGCATTCATATATGACTTTCATCACATTTATATACTTGCTACCGGGTTGGTATGCCTTGAATAAACTACACGTGCCGACACCTATTGACCCAAACATTGTCTTCTATTGAGCATGAGACTCCGGTAAGAATGAGATTCGTATGTATATCAATGAAGTAAATTGTAGGTTGGCGCTAGTATTATGCTGGGTGCGATATTTTTAATATGGATGGAGTGCGCTTGTCTACTTGTGAAGCATTATGTGGTCACTCCAAGAGCTAGACGCTTCCATTGAAGGTTGTCGAATGGCATATGAAGCCTTGACGCAATGATCTCACTGCATACTTACTTTTAAGACCTAGTCTAAAAGGCATATCCGTTAAGTGTGAATTCATTTCAACACCTAATATGTTAATCTTTCACTTGGACATACTCTAGCTGTCTTCCACCAGTCGGACAGCCCTCTAGAAGAAGATTGTGTGTCATCAGAAGATATCCCAAGACTTCTAGAATAGATACGATCATCTCCCCCAAGCCAGCGTGTTGATATAAAATCGATAATGAGCATCTATCTAAGTTACAGTTTCTCCTGAAAGCACAAAACAGATCAGTTGGCTCTCGGTTTTCCCATTCTACGGATTAGTTCCAATCATCCGTCTATCATGGTCATTACGCAGGATTTTGGCTCGGTCAAAACAGATACACTTAGCAGGACCTGGAGCATAGCATAAGTGTTGTCCACCTCTCTTGTTGTCGTGGAGTAACGAACATGCATACTCAGGAAACGACTTGGTCTCTTAAAATCACCTTGATCTTGGCTCTCGAGTTGACGACTTACTTAGACTATTTGTGTGGTGATAGGAAACCCGATTCATGTCTTGGAGATGCATCCGTTTACTATTGCATGAACCGCGGTAAATGTGCTCTCCATGGGTTTTGTGCAAACCGCCACTGCTTAGTTTCAAGCAAAGGCGGGAAAGCGTCCCTGGGACTCTCTGCATTATTTCCTCGATGCTGACCTCTCCCATGTACTCCGACTAGAGGGAATAATAGTTCTCTCCCCCTGTGCTCCCTCGTATTTGTCCCACGTGTTCCCTCCTCGCCTGCAGTGAATCGTTTCCTCATCCCAAGCGCCCACGACCCATTAATGTAAGTCAGCTCGCATCGTCCCACGCCCCCCGCTCCTGACAGACGTCGTTCCATCCGGAGAAACCCCTCCTTTCAGCCTCAGCGTCAGCCGACGGCCAGGCCCTCGCCTTGTTTCCCCCCTCCGGATGACAGCTCACACCGGGCGTGTTACACGGCGGCGAAAATCATGCCCGCTTACAACCGCCGTCGCACAGAGATGCAAAGTGCTTGAACGAGATGGGGTTGCACGACCGCAGCCCGGAGCGCCGGGGTGTGGAGGTTATCCACTTTTATATAGAGAAACACCGCCGGTCCCGCCCGTCGGTCCCGGGCCCGGATCGCCGACTCGCGCCGTTCCCTGCTTTGGGTGGTGGTGATGCGCGCTGCAGAATTGAGGTCCAGACCGCCGCCACCTCCGCGTTTTCCTTCTCTCTCGTTCACAGACACCACCACCACCATCTACGCGAATCGATAATCCACATATGTATGTATGCAACAGTCATCACATTTCTTCAACGTTTCGAAATCGTTCCGCTTCAAGCTGCTTGCAGACCGCGAAAAGCGGATTGAGAAAATAATCGACAACCGATATCACTTTTGCATGCGAAATTAGGCCACAACGTGACAGTTTCCTCCATCCATCCCGCTTACCCCTGTCGGCCCAACACATACAACCCGCCGCCCTCCATTTCCTAGCGGCTTGCCTCGGTTCCAAATATTCTTCTCCCTCCCCATCGCCCATCCTCCCACACCAACATCGCACACCTCCATTTCCTGTGCCTCAAAGCACCTTGAAAATGGTCGGTCATGTACAAATCTCACTCACCTCCCTTCACCGGTCCCGTCCCGTCCCTAGACTCCGCCCCTCACCGGTGAAGCGAGTTCCACCAGCCACGTCCGGCCGTTTGGCCCACACGCCGCGATACAAGCGCGACCGTCACCCTCACGAGACACACCTCGAGTATCTTTCTTGTACACGTCCGCCCACCCCAGCTTCTGGATGGGTCGCCTAAAACCCGCCCTCGGGAGGGTTAGGGACGACAAGAGCCGTCCCCTTCCGCCGCCCCGTCGGTCTTTTTTCCCCCTCAAACCAAACTGACAATGTCGCTGGCACGCTTCCATTCGTCGAGCCCTCGCTGGCGCGCCCGTTCCGCCCGCCAGCGCCGTCGCCCGTTGCGCGCATGCCACACCGAAAAGGAAGCACGACAAACCGGCCTAGAACACATCAGAAGAGGGAGGGCACGTTAGCATGGGGGTTCAAGAGTGGGCGCCCTCCTGAGTCCCCTGTGCGGCACACGGCGTCAATTCAGCCTGCAGAATCTCGCGGACAGGAATCCTCATTCAGGCTGCCTGCATCTTTTTCATCTGGTCTCTGGCGATGTTCATCTCATCGACCACGCGTTTGGGCCCGGTGGCTTGACGGGTTGCCTCGCGGCCCTCTACCTCGCTCTCGGCACTGACAAATTCAACCACGACGCGTGCCCAGCCCGTGATCTCACATGATGCCAGATGCATGAACTTCTCAATACCCCGCCCCGAGGGCCGAAGCGTCGATGTCCTCGGGTCGCGCAAGTGCCGGGATCCCACCTCTCCCTCGTACGCCGAGGCCGAACGCTCCCCATTGCGCCGAGGCAAACGGAGCCCGAAACCCGGCAGCGTGTCTTTCTTTCTTCGTCTCCGTCACGACTGGGCCCACGATGCAACCCCCAGACCCCAAACGCCCTGTCTGCTTCCCACGCGCTGGGCCGCCTTCACACCATCAGCCCTACGGCGACGAATGAGGACTGACGGGAGAGATCGCCGCCCAATGATGAGTTACGTCGGGCCACACACTCGACTCCGACTCCAGGACGCGGCGTGGTTGTTTCCCAAATCTGCCTCTACGTGTCTGAGACGCCACGATATCGAAAAGTCCATCTGGTAACGAGTGGGTGTGGAGGACGTTGAGCAGCCACGTTACGACACGCCGCTTTTGTGACCCCCTTGGAGACCTGTCAAGGCTAGTTGTCTTGGTTCCTAACGCGATGTGGCAGTTATTGGCAATGTCTCAGGATTTCACGTTCAACGACCTGGAGCCAGCGCAGAGCTCTTGTCTCGGCCAGGGGGCAAGGGTTTAGCACTGATCTGCGTGGAATTACCGCTTTGGCTACCAGCTACCAAGTTCAAATATCTGTCGAGGTGAGGAAACTACAATGTGCGGTTTTGAATGCGACAATGGTCGCATGTACGACCTGCTATCGCACGATTGCTAAGGCTCGCATCACGGCACCCTCTGAGTCGATGCTATGGGGTAGCCATGATGTCGTTTACTTGTCTTGCTGCTATGCTATTCTATGGATTTGGGGAGAAGAAGTCATCAAGTCATGGACCCTACATATGCCACGCCCTTCTATTCAACGTCAGCCGGCCAGTCTACCAGTCATCCGTCGGGAAGCGCTGACCTGGTTATGTGCCGGGGTAAATTAAGCTCACTTTCCTCCAGGCTTCCGTCCGTAGATGGACCACCTAATCGCCCAAGTCAGCGGGATAGACCATCGAAAAGCTTAGGTTGACTTACACAGAGAAATAGGCGTGAATCTGTTTGTTCTTGAGGTCCTTCCGCACCTCCGCGGAGAACACGATGACCTCTTCCCTGGTCCATTCGAGCGCCCTGGTAAAAGGCGCCATGATGATCCCCTCCCAGTTACCCGCGAAGTTCTCCTCGCCCCAGAACCCGAGCTCCTTGTACTTGCGATCCTTGGCCCCTGTATCGCTGGATTAGCTGTGTTGACGCTCACTTCACACTTGTATTCTGTACGCACACTGGTTCGTCGGCCACTTGAACCTCTGGATGTGGACATCCTCGAATCCAACCTCGACCATCACGTCCTTGAGCCCCCGGACGTCGATGAACGGGTGGCCCAGGATCTCCGAGGCGTCGCTCATCATGCGCATGCACCTGGACAGAGCAGAGTCCGGCTTGAGCGTGTCGTCGTCAGAGAGGGGGAAGACGTCGATCTCGTTCAACTCGAGATATCCTCCAGGGGTCAGGTTGCTTTGAGATGTGAAGTCAATAGTCGATCCATCGACCAACCGGAAGAGAACCTACTCGAAGCATTGCTTGAGGTACGCCTTCCAGTCGTTGATAGAAGAAGTCATCATCCGACTGTGGATGTAATCGAAAGGCCGCGAGTACGTCCAGGGTTCCTCGACGTCGTCGATCATAAACTGCACATTGGGCGGTACGCTAAGAGGTATAAGCCGACAAAAAAGCAAAACAAATGGACGAACAAGACTTACTACTGCGGCACAGCTGCCGACAGATCAACGCCGAGAACCTAGACAAGAAGCTCAGCAAGAACTCATACGAGAGACGTATATCTCTAGCGCACCTCGGCTTCGGGATGATCGTCACCGAACTCGACGGCCCAGATGCCGCTTCCAGTCCCACAGTCGAGCACACGGCGGACATCGGAGTCGGGCTGGTTCGGCGGAGCGGTCCCCAGTTTGTGATTAAACGTCAGGACGTACATCAGGTGTTGCAGGTCTAATCGCACACTGTCAGCATGTGTGCTGTCCCTCTTATCGTACCCTTCCGAGGACCCAAGCCACACTTACCCAGTCTGTCGACTTCCCTCTCGTCGTTTGGATACATGTATTCTTTACCGACCGAATCAGCATCGACTGGGCCACCGCCCTTTGGCTTTTGTAAAACTCACTGCCCTCCTTGTATCTGTGATAGGTCCTTCCATTCTCGATGCGGTAGTTGAGGAGCGATTGACTAACGCTGGTGCTCGAGGACGCGAGCTACGTGATGCGTCAGCTACAACCGCCATCGGGTTTCCATGGGTCTCTCTCACGCTCGCAACCTCCCACTCGCTATTATCAGAGGCCTGTGATACAACACTCAGTAAACCAGCCAATAATCAGAGCTCAGCATCGTTTCTTTACATCTTCCGCGTCGAGCTCGATGTCCGGGTGAGCGGTGATCTGGCCCTGGGTGACGGGGCCCGGCGCCGCGGCAGGCGAACCAGCCTCCGACTCACGTCCGGCCGTGGCCGCCGGCGCTGCTGCTGCCGGTGCTGCTTCAGACATATCGTATCTCGGTTGCACAAAGTGGCCCGTCTCTCTCCTTCGGTAACTGCCTCGGCAAGACTCCACAACGACCTCAGACGATAGTATAGTCCGAAGAGTAAAGAAGAAAAGGAGGAGAGGGAAAAGAAGGGGGAAAACCTGGGTTGCATCGCATGCGCAGGTGTTTCCCTTACCATTTTATCTCTCCTAACCGAAACCCACGTTTCTCCCCCGTGTCCCCCTCTTCTCGGCTGGAGACCAAGAAACACGCTCGATGCATGATTTACGAACGCAGCATGCCGTGGGGATTTTCTCCGTCCCGGGTTCTACGCGGGCGTATGGTTGACGAGGGAAAAGACGGAGAACGGGCATCACACGACGGGTCTGGCCAGCTGGAAAAGGCAAGTCGAACGGTGCGTTGAGAGTCGGGACCTTCATCTTGTTGGTCTCCTCTGGCCTTCAAAGAGGAAACGGAATCGTTTACTGTCTTTTTTGGGGAGGAGATGCGGGTCGTTGCTTTTCGTTGGTTATCTTTTTCCCAATTGGACCCGATGCAGTTCTGCCAAGTCGTAAAAAATCACAACTCACATGGAATTTGATGGAGACTTCTCACCAGATGCGGCAAGGAGAATCTCTGAACCCAGTGTCGACACGACCAACAGGCCACTGTCTGGACGGATTTAATCAGTGTTGCTTGGTAGTCTTAGTGCTTGAGTGGTATCGAAAGAATAGTCGTCGGGATTGAGGCTCAGGAGCTATTCAAATAGCCTCATCAGACCACTTCCGCCTCGGCCGATAAGACTTCATCGTAGCGTTATCAGCACCTGCAAACCAACCATTTGATGCATTCTAGCCCGTAGCCCGGTTCTGAACCTCGTCTTTCTCTCTTCCGCCGGGGCAACTGCCGCCAAGCCGGGGAGACGGACTCGACTCCGAGATGCTGACGAGGACAGGGACCGGACCCCTACTTACCCACAAAAAGATGGGAAGCTGACAACTCACGATGACATCCCATCCTCGCGTTACAGGCGGCTTTTATGAGTGGACAAAGCGTGAAGGAGCCACTATGCTGCGTTGCTCATACTAACCACGATAAGCCGCAAGCCGAAAAGTTGATATCTTCTCGTTAACTTCCCCACCGTCTGCTTCGACCAAGAGTCACTTCAATTACAAGATAAAAGACATTAGGAACAAGCGTAGTAGTAATGATAGTAAGTGTTTTTGTAATAGCTAAACTGCTATGCCATGTGAGAACTCGTGAAAAAAGATCAATTATTTATTCTGATCAGTCACGTCCCAAGCGACATGATACTCTCGAAATGAGAGATCGATTGTAATCCAACAACAATCATGGTTTTTGACAATAAGTAACGAAGCAACAATTACAGACATTAGTACCATTCGAAATAACTCGAGGAACAGAAGTTGGTTACGCTTATCGGGGCAACGCCCCAGAGCTTACTTATTGCTGGACTCCCCAAAGTTCCACGAAATGAGAACAACATCTGAGTAGACGCACATGCCTAGTCATCTTCAATCCACCAGTCTTACCGAGTCGAGGTTGCACCTGTCTCACTCTTCATCCACGAGGAAAGAAGACAACCCACAAGCGCGTCCCTAACTTTCCAAGCAACCAATCCAGAACCCAACCCAATTTTATTGCCGAGCAAGGCCCCCAATCCATTGCCGAGAAACAGAAACCCCCCCCAGTCTAGACCCGGGTCCGCCTCCAACATGGATAAATCCGGGGCCGGGTTGGGATGGATGGGAATGGATGGCGGCTATGCAAACACTGTAACTCGAGTCCAAGGATATCCCCGAAAAAAAGCAGCAGCAGCAACAACGACCGCCGAACCGGTCAGCGAGCCCCGATAAAGGCGGCGACACTCAAGCCATACAGAAGACATGGGGGCAATCAATCCCGAACCGACCTACGCTTGTGTGACCACTGACATCGACGCGGGGAGTGGGAGCCGCCCCCCTCTTTTTATTCCCTCCCCCTCGAGGTTCCCGTCACCGTTCCTGTCCATCAGCGGGGTTTGCCCACCAAACTTTACCTGACCACCGGGAACAGGATCGTCAGCCTTCGTCACACCTCACAGATCTGGGGAATAGAGAGAAGTCGTCAGGTCGTAGATCTAGTCAGAAACAAGCGAACCAACTCCATTCTTGGCATAGACGTTTCCCATAAGGGGGTATGTTTCGCTCTCACAATGTTAAAAAGACACAAGGAAAAAGAAAAAAAAATCGACAGCCTAGGAAAGAAAAGACGAAAGTGTCAAACGAAACCACTTGGAGAACGCCTGGTCCCGTCGATCGAGAATGGGCTTGTTCTCCCGCCAGGTCAACCCTTCCGAAACCCACGTCCCCAGGCGAACTCCCCAATTTTCAACCCTGTCGCGATGCTGAGATCCCTTTCCTGTCTTTGATGCCAAACAAAAAATCCCCATTGAATGCGTACCCATGACAGTGTGCCTTTGTGCGTGACAGACGGAACAGATGCAGCCCTGCCTCCAAATGCTCCTGCGGGAGGATGCGCCGTTGCCAGACTGCCTTGCCTCCCCGTTCGTCTCCCATCTTTCCGTGTTCGCGTTCTTTTAATCCGTGCCGTTTATGACCCAAACATGTTTGCGCGCGAACCAAAAAATGACGTCTCTTCGACCTCCGTGCCTTTTGGGGTGTTCGCTGCGAGATCAGCTTGAATCCATTCGCTTTCTTCTGTGCTTTTGGGCATTTTCTCTTTTTTTTCGACTCTTGCCATGCTCCCGAAATCCCAACACAACGCTCCACCCTATACATCAATCGCATGTCGCTGTGCCAGTAAATATCCCATTTCCCCGCGGGCTTCTTTGTCCCATAGTCCCCCTGCCCTAGATCCAGAGAATGCTTCGCAAAAGACATCGCAAAACGTATCGAACCCAGAAACTCCGTCCTCGAGTTGGTGGCGTAGGGTATATAGTCCGCAGGGACGTAAGACAAGACTCCCCGAGGCGCGTCCACCGTAGTAAATGTCCGATCCACGCGCCATGCTGAATGAAAGAAAGGAAAACCAGCCCAGCGCCGTGTTAAAAGAGAGAACAAAAAAATCGAGAGTTAAAAGGAACTAATGTCAAGTAGTTTCGATGACGCTCATTCTCAAGCCCCAAGTTTCCCGCAGGCTGGTAGCAGATTGGCGCTTGTCTCCCAGCTCCTAGAAGATTGTGGACGAAAACTGTCCGCGTGCCTCCAGTGCGAAGCATTGCGATTGAACGTCATCTGAAGACCCGTCGTTCGAAATAAGCTTGGGAATGGTGTAGAGAGTTGATGTAGGAAATAATAAGTGAAGAGGTAGGAGGCTCCGTATAAATCATATGCCAATGTAGATGCGTATGCGCCAGTAATGAAAAACAACGCCGTCGAAGTAGGGGATGGCACATGGAACGGAGTGTAAGAAAGCGTCCCCATATCAACAACCAGCCGTCGTCCAGCATGTCAGGTTTCCTTCGATTCACCTCGTCATATGTTCATGCTGAAACACCGTAACGCCAACAACTTTTGCCGCAACCCGTTCGGCGTCTAGAAGCAACTGGTCGCGAACTGGTAGACTTATCGGCCCAGCATGTGGGGTGGAAGATAGTTCGAATTGTTGCCGCTCATCAACGATCCAGGCCCGCCAGCCGTCATGGCGCCACTGTATCCGTTCCAGACGTTGTTATTGCCGGTCGCGGGAAACCCAGCCGCGACTGTGTACGACTGCGCAGCCGAGCCGCCACCGTAACGTCCGGCACCGAGGCCTGGAGGGGCCGAAAGTCCCGGGGGAGGGCCATTCGCCGTTCTCAACCCGTTCGAGGATCCCGTCATCATTCCGCTCATGGGAGGCGTCGCTTGCCCAGGGGTTTGGCCAGAGCGAACGCCGAGGGGGTTTTTGGAGAAGCTCAATCGAATGCCACCCTTCACGCTGTTGTGGAGCGGGTGGCCGTAAAGCTCGTGCAGGGCCTTGGTAGCGAAAGAGACGTCTTCGAACTCAACAAAACACATGGGCCCGTTCTGCTTCGTGCGGAAACAGAGACGCTTGTACCCACGCTGCTTGGAGAACATGGCCTTCAATTCTTCCTCTGAAGTGTCTATCGGCAAGTTACCCACGTACAGAGTGTTGCACGGCGGGTTCTGGTCGGCAGGGTTGACCGGCGGAAAGTTGGAGCGGCCAAAGGGATGGCCGCCTGCCATGTGAAATGATACGCCGTGTGGACCGCCGCCCATTACTGTGGGTGACATTGCGGCCGGATGAGCCGACATCGCCCCCATCCCTTGCTGGCCATATTGCGGAAGCGACGACGATGGGCCAGATGATGAGTTGGTATTGAGGGATAGGCTGGCGAGACGCGAGATGGGTAGCTGTGGGGCAGTGGCCCTTCGCTGAGCCGTCGCGCCGTTTTCCGCGTAGGCAACTGGGTCCTTAAGCAGCTCGCCTGTATCGTCGTCGTCGGCAGCATCATTGTTGATCATCGATTTCCCCGTAGCGCGAGTTCGCTCGGTGATGTGATTCCCGATAGGCGATTGCGGAGAGAAGAGGGTTTGGTAGTGGGCGCTAGACTCGGGGTTTGGTAATTCGCTGGTGCCGTACATACCGTTCATAGGCGGCGAGATCTTCTCCAGCGACTGGAAAGCGCCGTTGAATCGGGATGGCTGTCGCGACGTGGGCGCCGAAGATGTCGCGGACGAGGCCGTACTCGACGGCCCGGTACCTGCGGGTTCCGGGTATCTCCTCGAAGAGGTCGGGCTTCCTGCCAGAATCTCAACAATCATGTTGGCATCGTTAGAAATGTTGGATTTCCCGTCCAGCATGTTTTTCGCCTCGATTGCGCCGTTCGTGGTCCTGAACTTCAAGATGGCCGACCGGAAGCCCTTGTCCTCCGACTGATCCACGGGCAAAACCTCAACATCCACCAATTCCTTGGACCAAACGACCATGAGACGGAGCGATTCTTCGGAGGTGTTCAGCGGGAGGCGACGAATCAGGACAGAGGAGGCAGTCGGGCCGGCGTTGGCGAACGGGGTGCCCACGAGCTTGGCCGCATCGCGTTCGAAGGGGTTGACGGAGGATAGAAAGGAGGATTGGCCGTTCGAGGGCCTGAAGGGTTGCGATTGTTGTAGAAAAGCCGGCGCAGCCATGGCGGACATTTGTGATTGTGTTGCTGGTGGAAAAGGACTGGCGCGACTCGATGTCATCTCAGAAAAGTCGGTGGTGGCCGGACAGACTGTAAATGCGCCTAAATCACCTTTACTCGCCGGTCATCCGCCGGTGGTTCGGTGCATGCGCTGGCGCGTGGTTTGCTGTAATTGCGATGGAGGTGAACAAGTACGACGATCGCGCTGATCAGATTGCTGACTGCTCAGGTACGCGAAGGCGGGAATGCGGGTTTGCTGGCCAAGACGCGATCCAAGATGTCGAGAGTTGGTGTCGACTTCCGAGGCGCGATGTCAGAAGGGCGACGGAGAATGCAGCCTGCTACGAGGACGAAGTGGTAAAACTTGGGGGGCTGCAATCAGGTTGGGTGGATAAGATGAGAAAGGGAGTGTGCGGGTGGTGCGAGATGAGCTGTCGCAAGATTATGTATCGTCCCTTAGAGTTCGGAGAAGAAGGAAGAAGGGGCAGTAGAGTGCCAAGTTGTACCGCGAGGGAATGGTGGTATTGATGGCAGTAAAGTGTGAAGACAAGGTGTGTGTTGGTGGGAAGTGTGTGAGGGTGAGGGAAGACCAGGAGGAATGGTGTATGAGGTGCGCGCCTTGATGGGTTGGGTTGGGTGCGCCGCGGTGCAGTGCGTCAGGATAGGAGAGGACGGACGGTTGGCCTGCTTCGTTCAAGAAGCATGGGGGGAGCAGTAGCAGCAACAGCAGCAGCAGCAGCAGCAGCAGCAGCGCATCTGCGGGTGTGGATGCTGGGATGCTGGTTGCGTTCGAGAGTCGGTTCGGCTCTGTGACTGGGACTTGGGTACCGGCGCGGTAGCTCTGTGGTGGATAACAGGCTAGAGGGGGTGGACTTGCCGGGGGGCCTCGAAGCTTGATGGTGACAGGTACCCAATAGAACTACAATCACGGGTGGGTGACTCGAGGATGGGAATCCAGACGACTAAGGCAACGTCGATAGGATGGCTACTGTGACAGGGCCACTTTGGTGCTAGAACAGAAAGGTACCTGAAGGTCGCGAGAGAGCCGGGAGCGCAAGGCAGGATGATGATGGTGGTGCTTTCGTTGCGATTTGCGGAGAGATGTTAGGCGAATGTAGCTGACCAAGAGAGGGGAATTAAAAAGCGGGCGGAAGCGCGGGAGGATGTTGTAGGACAGGACGGCGTCGATGTCGTCGACTTATCGTGGGGTTCTTTCTGGCCGCGTGAATAGTTAGAGGCACGGCAGCCTGTCACGCCTGTGTACTTCTGGCCAACGTCAGTCATCAGTATCGCCGCGGGAAGACAAGCGATAAAGATTTCGGGGGAGATGCTATGTACCTGACAAGTAAATTGTATGCGCTGAGGGGTGGGTGTGTGGAAACAAAGTCGGTCGTGAAGTGCCAGGTTTAAGTGGTTGCTGAGGCCGGGGGGTCGACGGTGTTTCCCTTGGTGGCCCTTGTTCGAAAGTTGAAGTCTGGTCCAGTCCAGTCGCGGTTGGACTTTGGGGATTCGGAGGGGGAGAGAGGGAGTGGAGGAGGAGCGAAGGGAGGAGGGGGAAAGGGTCTGGGAGGGGACAAGGGAGAATGTGCTGTGGAGTGCAAATTGTGCGCCGACGCTGGAGTCTTCGGGAGCGACGTATCGTACCAATCAGAGGCTGATCGCGTAAGGTTGGATAGCGTTCGGTGTGGGCTAAAGCAATGCTAAGGCGTATGTACACTGAATGTATACTTTTGGTGTATCCGTACGGATACCTTTGCCTGGTGGAGAGTTGCAACCACTTCGACGAAGTTTCCTGTGTAAGTTGACTATCGCGCAGCTCGTGGCGGCCTTTGATCTTTGCGCTGTCGTTATCTCTGCGTCGAGGACTGAGCTTTGTGGTTATTTTCGCCAGGCTGTCATCGACCTCGTTTCTTTGAACTTGGTAGACTTGGACGACAAGGAACGAATGATATCGATGGCCTCGTCTGTGGCGCCCGCTGGATCGAGCACCATGTGGGTGGGTTGGAGTTGTTACGCCTTGTCACGGTGTCCCTCCAGGCCAAGGGAGGGCAGGGAGGAAAAGGCCAGCGGTGACAGTATTCGTGGTAAGGCCAGCACCTGGCAGCAGGATGCGGAGGAAGTACCGTGCTTGGTATGGGTGAGGCCGCGGGCGCGGAGGAACGGAGCAGTACTGCTAGTGCGTGTAGGTATTCGTAGTGGTGGTGGTGGTGGTGTTGGTGTTGGCGGTGTTGGTGGTGGTGAAGGCGACGGATGGGAATTCCAAGACAAAACCGCCTGGAGGACGGGAAAGGAGACTAGCGGGCGAGAAGGAGAGACAAGAGAAGGGGAAGGCCCCTGCCGGTACTCTTGCTGCTAGGCCGGATTCCTTGGTGGCACAGCCTCTGGAGGGCACAACGGCGTCAGGAGAGAGCGCGGATTGGCTGAAGATGGTGGTAGCAGTGCGACCGGGCTCAGGGGTCTTGTAGACTTTCGGCGATCGTTGGCACCGTTTGAGGGCTGGTGCTGGACAGGAGGCGCGTGTGTCTGCGCTGGCTTTCAGCATGTACTGGGATGGTGGTGCTGTCGGAAGTGCCTATGAAATAGAGAGAATGAGAGACGTGTGTGTGCGTGTGTCTCTCTCCGTGGTTGTGGTCTTGGTGGGCGGCAGAAAGCGTGTGAGGACGTGCAGAAACTGGGAGGTTCCTCTGTGCGAGCGCATATGGTAGCCGTAGACTTGTTGGAGGTGCAGTGTTGGTGTTGGAAAAGAATGACGCGGAAAGGATTGTCTGTTCTCCTGCGCCTGCGTTATGCTGCCGCAGAATGGTCACTGCCAGGCAATATGAGGAGTTGGTGACTGTACGCCAGACGCAGCAACAGGCGGAACGTGAGCCGGGGAAGCTGGCGAAATTCAACGTCGTTGGGCTGTGAGTGGTTAGTGGTTGGCAGTTTCTTGGAGTTGAGTTGGGAGAGAGAGAGAGACCAGACAGGGATGGATTTGGACGGGCGAAAAATTGAGGTCAAGTTCATCGGTGTCGCACTTAACACGACGTTTCTCGCCAATCTGAGTTCATGGCGACGACCAAGAGTGGAGACAGGCATTTCGAAACAGCAGAAGAAGGAACGACGGGAGATGGCACCTTCACTTGCATCTTCATCTGCCCTTCCTTCCCAGAAGCCTGAGGCCTAAGGCCTGAGGCACGAGGCACGAGGCATGCAGCACCTCATCTGGCAGTCACTTGGGGAAAGCGAAGGGAAGGAACGAACGAACGAACTGTCGACTAAGGATTCAAGGAAGGCATGGGTGCGGGATGGGGGCGCCTATCTGTGGCACTTTTCCTGAATCCCTTCTCCTGTGTTCTTTCCTTGCTTTTTTCAGGTCGCATCACGCAAGCATCGGGGAAGTTGCGCACGTGGGCCAAAAAACTATTCGATAAGGCAAGACCTCTGCTGTCTCGAGGCAGGCACATTCCATACCTGCCTGCTTTACCTTGCCTTACATGGCGACTACCTCGCCGCTTCGAAACGGCCACGCACTCTGCAGCCGTGAAATACACAATTCCGTCGCGCGTACCTACCTTACTTTACATGCTCCCGTCTAGACTCGCAAAAAGACGGAGAGAATTAAGAAAAATCTTCAATTCTTTGACAGCATCCTGCGTAATGCCTACCTGCAGAGTAAGCTGCTGCTGAAACCTGGGAGGATTGGGACGGGGTCATTGCATGGAGCTAGAGAAAGTGTGCCGCGCACATCAACTTCGCAGCGACATGCTGGAGCCAGTGTTCAACTACCTTACCTTCACTTCAGTAGAAGGTATTCGAGGACACCCTACTGAAGTACGCAGAGTGCACTGCCTTACTCACCAACGCTCGGGAGGACGGCCTCAGATGTCGTGTTCTGTGCGCAAGTTAATGGGAGGAACTTACACCCGCACAAAAGGCAAGGAATGGACTGCCAGAGACCCAGACGTGAACTGGGAACCCCTCGACGGATCTGTTGGCCCTGATCGACCACGCGAGACCACAGACCAGACGAGGCCATGTGCCCGTCACGCCAAAGTCGGTACGGCAAGGTACGTATCGGTATCCAAGCACGAGCAGCAAGGGACCGGACCAGACCACCTAGGCAAGAAGACCCTTTGCCCGTGCTGAAGATCAGCCATGAGAATTACGGCCAGTCATGGTGGCGAACGACGGAAAGAAGAAGGAAGGATAGAACAGCCGATAGCCAGACACTCGCGTGCGCCTCTCTCCATCCACGACGAAGTGGCTTTGCCTTTTGAGGAGTCCAGGCACTCTGAACTGCAACATACATCATTCATCGTCATCGTGCAGTCGGTGACGGCGGGACTCTGCGATTTGAGCCGCGATATGACACGTCGGTGAGTTCCTAATATTGGGATATGAGTGTCCTCTATCTCGTGTCGTATTACAATCTCTGCCTCCAGACTTATGCGTTTCCTCTGGATTATTGTTCGAAAATCCAGACCAAGCAGACGAAAGCCCCGAAAACTGCGTGGAGGCTTGTTTGAGTTCAGTTTACTGAAGCAGTCCGTGCCTCGCCTGACGGTTCCGTCCTGCGTCGACACATCTTAAAAAAATCTCTACGCCGAGTCTTCAAGTCTGCCGGTAGTACTCGCTTGTCGCATCAGATCTTTCGCCTCACCTCCTGCATGACCCGGGTCCGAAGCTCGTTCGCTCGTCGAGTGGCTGTTTGTCACACTTGAAACCCCGACAGCACACATCAGAGTACCCAAGGCGTTGTAGTCAATATCTGCGAAGAGTATGTATCGGGATGGACTGCTGCTGTGTCTCGTCCTTTCGTTGATGATGACACGGTCAGGGTGAGGAGACCAAGTTCAGACTGACGCGCAATGAAAACAATTTAGACTTTTGAGTCTTAATAATCACCCTCCTCATTTGGACATACGTCCTTGGAATACTTGTGACGTGAAATATTGCGTGCTTGAATCTTGCCATTTGCTTAAAGTCAGGCAAGCAAGAGAAGGAAGGAGCCTCGCCGAGGTAGGTACCTTC